CATTCAACAAATCAGGGCAACAGCAGTTAGAAAGTGATCAATGCTGATTATAAAAGACATTCAGAAATTTGTCTTCAGTTGGCCAAAATTGCTGCTTGTTACCTAGGCAAACAACCTAGAACAAAAGGATGCACTCTATGTTATCACACAGACCTCCTTACAATGTCAGCTTTTGTCTGAAGAGCTTTCAGTGTTTGTTTGGAAACTTTGTTCTACTTTTTCGAGTTTTAAAGATCTTTACATAACATGCAGTAACAGTGCCCCCTGCTGCATTTTCAGAGGAACCAGGGAAATATGTCTCCAGATAATGTAAGAAGAAAACAAGAGGATATGGGCATGCTCAGCACTATAGGCCTTTTGTTTGTCCTAGTGAGCATAGACTGCTCCCTGAGCCACTCAACTCCTCCGTCAATTTATTTTTATTGATATATGTGTTGATATGGCAAGCAGCTGCTTTAATTATAGCTATTATATTTATTGCAGGGGTTAGCTGTACTCATGGTGGGAGTTAGAAACATAGAAACAGAGCGAGTCAGAAGGGGCCTCCCGGGTCATCTAGTTTGACCTCCAGCACCAGCCGGCTCCACTCACGACATGCCCACCATGTGCCCATCCAGCCTATCTTTGAACACCCGCAACGATGGGGCCTCAACGACCTCCCGTGGAAGCCCATTCCACACCCTCGGGGTCCTGTCAGGAAGTGCTTCCTGGCATCCAAATGGAACCTTGGCTTCCTGAGCTTTGCTCCACTGGAGCGTGTCCTGCCTTCCTCTGCAGGGGAGAATAGGTGGTTCCTCTACCTACCTCCGTGCAACACCCCCTCACATACCTGTATGTTGCCAGCATATCCCCTCTGAGTCTCCTCTTCTCCAGGCTGAAGAGACCCAGTTCCCTTAGTCTCGCCTCATACCCCATCCCCTGCAAACCGACCACCAACCTTGTGGCCCTACGCTGCACTGACTCCAACCTGGCTATATCCTTTCTGTAATGAGGGGCCCAAAACTGAGCACAATACTCCAGTTGCGGGCGCACCAGAGTCATATAGAGTGGTAGTAATACCTCTCTCGATCTAGAAGCCACACTTCTGGCTATGCAACCAAGGGTGGCGTTCGCCCTCTTGACCACCGCATCACACTGCTGACTCATGTTCAGCCTTCATGTTGACTTCATGGCAACTCAACTTTATCCCTGGGCTGAGTTGGTCCGCGGAGTTTCTGAGGGATTGACAACTGAAGGGGGGAAAGTTATCGGAGCAATGAGGTTTCGGGGACGGTGTGAAATACTTGGGCATGTGCTTATTTCATTATTTATTGAGCTTCGGAAAAACATGAAATGTTGATGTTCCCTTGAAATAATTAAGAAAATTAAAATATTGTCATTCATCTGACGCAGCTCAATGGAAGTCAAAATCCGCTTCGATTGAAGCTTTTACAGCAGCAATGCCCAGGTATTCTTTCAATGTCAGTACTTGGAAGTTCTATTTGAAAAAATCTACATTTTATTTAAAATATTTCAGTACAGCCTTTCATCCCATTTGGATGTCATGGTCATGTACAAAGCTGATGTTATACAGCAACTAGAACTTGCATAATGATATATATGAGTGTAACAAATAAAACCTTTAAAAGCAGACCTAGGAACAGCACAGTTGTCAGAATGCATACAAATAACTTTGGCTAGCAACATGGATGGGTCTTTTTCATGGAAGTTATCCCATAATCAAGGCAGCACCGCTGAGAAAGACTCGCCATTGAAGATTCTTTCTCTTTCTGTGGGCTCCCTGTCCATCCCACAATTGGCCTGGAGTATTTGCATCTACTATTTGCAGGACAAAGTAGAGGTTCTGTTGGTGAGCCACCCACCCTGCTGCTCAACAGACTCCCTGGGCTGATGGAAGTGCCCTTCGTTGCAATCCTGAAATCTCCCAGGCTGACATCTCCCTCTGTGTGGATGTTAGTCCTGGAGGATGTTAACACCCCCACAGAGGGACTCAGGGGCAGCTTAGGAGTTCATTGATTCCACAATAACCATGGGGCTGTCCCCACATGGCATTGGTCCTATTCAAGTAATGGGCCACACTCTGGATTTTTTCACCTGCACATCGGGACTTTGGATAGGACCTTTTGTCATGGTCAGATTGCTGCCTGCTGAGATTCAGACTAACCAAGAGTTTTCCCCGCTACAAGGCGAGAGTACACATTAAGATGGCCTACTCCAGAGGCTACTGGATCTTGACAGTTTCAAGGGCCCTCGGTGGTGGAGGGGGCGGGGCTGATATAGCCGGCAGTTCTGGCAAATCCTGGATCTCAGGAATATAGAGATGGCCTAGGCAGTTGTCACCCTCACTTCTGAGCCCCTTCTCTGTGCTGCAGCTCATACAGTTCTGTGGTGTGCCCTGCAGCTGAGAGTGACAAAACAAAAAGGGAGAGAGCTTGAATGTGGATTGAGGAAAACTCTTGGTGGATGCAATCATGCACTAGTATGTGCCTATATACAGGTATATTTAGGGGCAGTGGGGGTGGCAAAGAAACATTTCATTGTTTCTATTCATTTTTCTTTCTGCCACCCAGTAGGGCTTTTCGGGGTCATCTGGGGCCTATTAGATGCTGTGTCCCAAAACATTTTAGACCCACATGAGGCCCAGGATAACATGCATTAGCCACAACCTAGATTCAAATTTTATAGCAGCTGCATCAGGTGAGATACCCAGACCACAGCCTGGTCATTTTCTTGGAAGAGGTTCAGCTCCATGATGCTTAGAGAGAGAGCTTTAAAGTCAGACAACCACAGCTGCATCAGATCCTTGTCCCCCTTGGCCTATACAATTTAGGAATGAGGGAACAACCAGCTGGACCAGGAGGTGATCAATGCCTCTTTATGACAGAGAACAGTCCCATGCTTCTTGAAAGAGGCACCAGTGGGACCACTCCTGGAGAAATCTTCCCTCAACCCAGATCTTAACTTTTGGCTGGTAGCAAATGTTTCTTTCCTGAGCAAGGTCCTTAAGTGGGTGGTGGCCAAGCAGCTGCAGGCGCTCTTGATTGAGGTGGATTATCTGCATCCATTTCAATCAAGGTTCAAACTGGGTTTGGCATAAGAACAGCTTTTGCCACCCTGTACGATATTGCCAGGAGAGAGACAAGGGAGGGTGTGACCTTGTTGGTACCTCTGGACCTCTCAGTGGCTTTCAATACCATCAACTGTGGTATTCTTCTGGGGTGATTGTCTGAAGCAGATATAGGTGGTACCGCTTTGCAGTAGTTCAACGACTATTTGGATGGGTGTTTCCAGAAAACAGTCCTTTGGAAGGACTGTTAAGCTCCATGGATTCTCCAGTATGAGTCAGTCTTTTCTCCATGCTATTCAGTATTTACAAGAAACTAAGTATGGTCAATGGACTTTTGGAGTGTGTTGCCATCAGTCTGCTGATGACACACAGCTCTATTTCTCCTTTTCATCTTCCTCAGGTGCCTTTCCATGACTTGCCCTATCTGAGGATAGCTCAGTTGGTGACAATGAGGAGGGCCTTCTCTGTAGACTCCACATTTTGGAATAATTTCCAAAATTGAACCAATTTTAGTGGTTCAAGCTGTTAAAATGTGCTTAGTTGTTTAAATTACATTTTTACTGTAAAATGTTGTTATATCTTATTGTATTTCAGTCACTGTTGTACACCACACAGAGAACTTCAGCTTGAGGGGGACAAGGATGATACTGGCTGTGACTTAAGCAGCTCCCAATAACTTTCCTCAGCTATAGGTAACCCCTGACAAGGAGCCTCAGAAGGGCCTTTAAAGGCAGGTGGGCTGATCTGAAAGGAGGCACTCCAAGTCCAAGTTGCTTCTGTTTTGAGTTTTTCATTACCTTCAGTTCACCCTAATTTCCTAGCAAATGTAGCTGTTGTTCTGAAACATGGCGGGTTTCTTCTCTAAGAACTTTGTTTAATGTAAGTAGCTTTCGTACATATTGCCAACCAGAACCACAAACTACAGAACCATACAAGATTCTCCTGCACAACCCTCCCCCAGCTACCATTCTGAACTTTTACACATTACTTAGAGGAACTTCTACAATGCATGCATCAAAATTGCCCACCATAAATCAGGAGAGGAAAACTAATCCCTTTTTAGCCCCATTCCAATCATCTTTAAAGTTTTCTACCAATTTCATATTTCTCTCCTAATTGCACTTCTATATCATGTATTATTTTCAGAAATCCTTTTTTGAAAACCCTTCAAACTTAAAAGGCTGTTGTTGCACTAATATGTTGTTCCTACCCTCAGAAGGGCCTGCCTGCCTGCCAAACCTATCCCATTTCAACCCATCAAAGTGGAAGAAACAGAACTCCAAATTTCCAGCGTGAGATTGGGATCAAAATCAGACAGCATCCAAACTGAATCAAGCAAAATTAGCTGTTTCCTGAACCTTATGCTGTTCCTCCAGCTAAAAACAAGTATCCATTCAATTTTTATTTCAATACTTCATGCAAGACAGACCAATAAAGACTTCTTTTTAACTAAAATACAGAAAGCAAGCTACTATTCCCACTAATTTATTGTCTGGAGTTTATTTGAAAAAATCTTATGAAAAGTGATACAAGTTCAAGTGAAATAAAAATTACTGCAAGAAAACTGTTCTGGCATTTATCCATTGTGCTTCACCTTCCTGTATTTAGGAAAACTAAAATGCAGGGATCCAGAAGCTCAGTTGTTTTTCCTACTGTTTGTAAGATCATGCCCTCTGCAATTCTTCTCATGCCAGAAGTCTGGGAGTTTTTCAGAATATTACAATGCTTGAATATAAAGTCATTAATTACAGTTCATTATTTACATATTGTTCAGGGGGGTGGATATCACTCACAAACAGAATGCGCATTTAAGAAAAACTAATATACAACTTAAGGGACACAAAAATATGCCTTAGGAAACTGCCAACATATCAGAACTTGCTGAACAGTCCATACAGAAGGGATTTTTCTCTTTGCAAAATTAATGAAAATGGTGCCTTCTTCTCTGAAAATAGATGATTACATGCCATGTCATTCTTATGTCTGCATTTGATTACCTTTGCTTAGACTAAGGGTGAAGTAGCATGGGGCAACACCCAAAATTATGTGAGCAAACGTCTGTTCGTGCAACAGCACACACTTCTGCCCCTCCCTCAAATCTGAAGCCAACAAGGGAGTGCATGGGCGACTGGAGAACCAATCTGCTCTGCCTACACTGCCTCTTCCACAAAGTTAGATATAACCCTCTCCTTCAAGTTTGTATGCTTTTATGTTTGACAAACAGGAAAAATACATAAAGTGCCTTAACAACCCCTACATAAAGCACCAAGGCAAGTATCTGTTGTTATTCTACAGGTCTTTCTGTATATTCGAGTTTCTAGGTTGAAAAAGTTTATCTTAATCCTGCATTTTTAAAGGCTGCTTTTTTCTCTTTCTTTTTGTTTTGGTGGAGGGAGAACATGGTGGGGGGGGGGGGAAGGCTGAGAATCACTGGCATTTAAAACTGGTATTTGTGAGTTATAAAAGAAAATAATGAAAGAAATATTGTTCTCTTAAAATTGGCAAATATAGAGAACAAATAAAAGCACGATCCTTATACAAGTGATGTGGTCTGAAGTATGGAAACCAGCTTTATACTGATGGGCAGCTTGCAGCATTACTCTTTTATACCAAGGAAACAACAAGATACATGATACAAATAGGGAACTACCAGAAGCTTCTCTGAGTAAGATTCAGCGATGCCAGAGTCACTAAAAAATTGAATATTGACTATTGTGGCTATATTCTAAAGTAGAATTATTGGACTGCTCCAGGCAGAAAGAAATACAGTAGACGATAAATAGGGTGACTGAAAATGGCACTATGTACAATGATAGTCTGGCTGTCATAAAAGTAAATACTAATCTTACATCCCTTCATATAAGGCTCAAACCCTGCAAGGCAAGAATACTGTGCACATGCTCATTGCTTATGGCAAATACCTGCACATTATATTAAAAAACAAGGCAAAGAAAATTACTAGTTCAGCAAATGCAACACATTGCTTTTAAAAAATGTAATCATTCGTAATTTTTAATGAAGGCATAGCCTCATTAACATTTTGATCTAAACGATGATATCCAACTGTTCTGGAGCAAAGTCCATCCCGCCATCTTCTGCTCTGAACTAACAAGATGATCTGGAAAGAAAAGAACAGCATCATGAAGAGGTATCAGTGTAAAGACATATTATTACTCATTTCCTGATCAACTATTCTAAGCATTGCAACCATTTCCTTCACTATGTTTTCCTACTGATGTCTATCCTTAGCAGCTTGTTATATACTGTCATAAAATAATAAGCAAACTAGTTAGCAAGAACATTGTCTTTATATTTTTCCACAGAAGTCAATGGCAGCCACACACTTCTACAGAAGCTAAAGAACTTGCAGTTAAGGCTATAGTTGAAATAAGGGCAAACCCTGATATTATTAAGAGTAAAATGGAGCTATGTAAGCTGCCTTGGGTTCCTCACAAGAAGAATGAAGGCAGCATATAAATGCCATGCTGCTGCTGCAGCTGCTATTATTATTATTATTATTATTATTATTATTATTATTATTATTATTATTATTTTGCTACTGCTATTACAGAAAGCCTGGTACTGTAGCAAAACCTCCATTATCATGGGATTCTAGCGCACACTCCTTACAGGACAAATGAGTACACTGCAGCAGAAACCACAGCATACCAATAAAAAAATTGAAATGGCATACAGGAAGAAGAATGCTAGTGCAGCTTCACTCAAGGTATTATATAAATATTTGCTGTGGGCTAACTTAGGCCTGGTAACCTAACTGGCAAGAAGTTAGCCATATTTAAGTACATTCAAGTGTTAAGTTTCTAAGCTACAGAATTCCACGTTACCTATTCCAACTATCAGCAGAACTTCAGCAATGGTAGAATTCAGATTTAAAAGATGTAGCCTAACCCATTTTTACAAAACTGCTACACCATCATAACAAGGGTTATGATCTTGGGGTTTTTTAAATGACTTAAAACATGTGTGCCGCCACTGAAGAGGAAACAATGATATAAATAGGTCAATACGTTCTGAAGAGTTCAGCTCAGAGATGGGAATAAAATACAAAACAAGTGTATTATAACCTCCTGAGAATCCATGGAATAGGAAGGAAGTGAAATCTAAAAGACATAAGGAACTAGTGTCATCCTCAATCTATCACACTAAATTACAGATCACTGAAAATAAGAGGGGAAAAACAGTAAATTACATTAACCCCTGCACAATGAAAAAAGGGCAGATATTAACATTTCTGAGAGCAAAGTGCTTAAAAAGCTATGACACAGAGAATAGAACTTATCATCATACACTAGCACATCTAGTCCGAAAACCTGTTAGTCCAGTCTTACTTCATTTTTTTTTTCAGTTTGCTTATATTACAAAAAGAGCAAGAAACCAGATAGTTAACGTTTTTAGTTTGGGGTAGATTATGTACTACTTATATTCACAAGTTCCAGGTATTAACTTAATTATTACAATATTTTGCACTGGAACCCATCTTAATTTGATGATTTCTAACCTTTGCAACCCTGCATTTCATAACTTACCTAGATTCAGCTTTGTCTGCTAGTGACTTCCATTAATATACAAGAACAGAAAATAAGACTTCTGATGACATTTGGCTATTAGCTTTGCATATTATCATTTAAAGTGCAAATGCTGATTTACAATCTCAGTAAAGCTATATATTATTGTTCTAATGTGTGTCAAGACAAAAACTATTCCAACATTACTAACATTCTCTAGATTGTTAAAAAGCTGAACCCACCTTTCTTTTATTGTGATATGTGATATAAACCACAGCCACCAAAAAGACAAAAACCACCAGGTGAAAAAAGAAATGGCTATCGTCTTCTAATCCTGAGCCTGGGGAGTCCTTCATCTCCTCAGCAAATGACTTCTTATTTTCATAGTTGTGCATATTTGTCAACTCTTCTGGCAATTCTGAAATGCCTTCATCATCTTGATCATCCTCAGAATCAGATGAGATGCTATACTGTTCGTATCCAGCAGGAGTACTGGGATTTATCCTCTCTTTTAGCACTGGCAGGGAACTAGTTAACACATATTTGTCAGGTATGTCTTCTTCATTAAGATTTGTGTCTTCTGACTCATCAATATTCATTTGCGGATTAGGATTAAGACTCAGAGAAACTGGCACAGATTGTGTACTTAAATTTTCTTCTGCTAAAATTGACTCAATTTTAAAAGAAGTATCTGTTTCCAAAGGTGCAGGGAGCCTTCCTTCTTCTGTTGCATTCCTCAAACTGTTCTGGCTGGCTTCTGCTGAATCATTATTAGCAGTGTACCCTGTGTAGACATTTTCTGGAACCAAGGGGCTATCCTGTGAAATGCCTATAGGAGGCAATGAAATAGGATAGTCTCAGTTTTCAAACAAATATTCTCACATATATGAAGATCTTATAAAGACAGCCAATGTGAAATGATATTGTGCATTGCTCTGGAATTAACAGGAATGGTATTTAGCTTGAATGCATTTAAGATCTGAGAACGTGTAGAACAAAAAATGTCAGTATTAAACTAAAATAATAGTATCAGCTTATCAAAATCAAACCATCAACAGGCTAGAAACAGATTTTAAAAAAAAAGTATCTGAAGCAAAAATCTATTAAAACACGAAATCCAGGATTTTTGTATTTCAGAACCATTCAAAGATCTAAACTACTTCCAGATCTAAACTGGGCATGGAAAGGAAATAATTTCTGATCAGCTGCTGATTACAGATAAAACATTTTGCTGTGGAAAAAGGCTGGTGGGTTTGGTGCAGAATCACTGTAGGCTGCAGGTTTTCCATGTCTGTTCTAGAATATACATTCACTACCAAAGCAAATGCAAAGAACTCTAAATCCCCAAAGACAGAGGATTTTAGTTGAAAAGAAAATGTTCCAATACTGTATTGGAAAACTTGTTGGAAAGCGTTCCACACCATATATGTCTGTTTATCCATAGTTTTCTGGGCTGTTGTACCGCTATCATTCATTTGGATGAGCTAAATATACGATATGAATGTCTATAGCTTGTTCTTCTAAGGCAAACCCTAGTGCTCAGTTGCCGGTAGAAGAACTGAAAAACAACATTTGGCAACCCCTTTCTGGCTACTGGCCCAGACGGATACATGGTGTATTTGACGTCTATGGCTAACATTCTTCAAAAACAAACTGCAAGAAAAATAAAACTAAGACTGTGATTACTGTTTATTTTATTTAAAAACATGAGAAAAACAGTGCTGGATCAGACCAAGGATCCACCTATTTTTACAAATATACCAATATTTTTCACATAAAGCTTTGACTGTATTTGTATATAACATTTAAGCTATACCACTTGGTTATTTTAATTCTTCCTAAGCAAGTATTTCAATTGAAATACTAGCTATAAAGTAACTTTTTGAAATATTTTACTGCACATAAAACTGCCTATGGATTAGGCTTCTAGTTTTGTTTACTAAATATGAAGTTTTTGTGTAATTGAGTCAAACAAACTTGCTAAATCATACAACATAATTTAGAGTGTTGAAAAATTTTCCAATTCTGCTTTTCTGGAAAGTCCATATTACTGCAGATGAGCTGTACAGAAAATGTCTAAACAGGGTTGGTATAAGTAGAAAAAGCCTTAAGAAATGTGTTGCCCAAGTTTATAAAAATGTTCCCCTTTTCAGCTTTATGCAAATATATTACATACAAGAATAACGGCTTCCAGATCTTTGAAACTGTTTTTCCTACTATCTAATTGTGGCCCATCCTTTAGCAACAAGACCACATGATTTTCACATCTAGGCAACAGGCACAATACAGCAATCCAGTTTAGCAATGCCATGCCTAACCGTTTAACAAAAGAAACAATACGACAGGATGAGGAAGGGGTTGTTTTTTTAGATTACAAATCAGAACAAACAAGTTGCAATACTACAGCACTGTGTGAGCAAAAACTGCAGGTCATCTCTCTGTTTGGCCAGACTAATCAATTAGTAAATTACAGTAGCAATACAAGCATTTAAGAATATTTTAATGTAAACTACAAGTGAAACTAGGATGTCAGAAAATAACATTTATATATCAAAAATGCATGATGCAAAAATGGAGTAACCACTAATTATAGTAATTAAGTACAATAATTATGTCACAAAGTAAAACACTCTGGGAAATTCTGAGGTTTGGCATTCAAAATATCTGAGAGTAAGGTATAGAAAAACAATTCTAACTGCTATGGAATAAAAATATTAAACAGATTTTGAATTCAACATCTTATTCACACGATACAGAAATTACCACAGAACAGACTATTCTTTGTCTACAGAACACAGTTTCCTATATTAATCTGACTTTAGAACTTACAAATTCAAGACACACAGATATCAAATTATATTAATATTTACAAAAAGTGACCATTATAACACTGGAGAGGAAAGCATCCATTGAATGCAAAAATTTTTGATCTTTGGAATGCTAAAGTGTAGTTAAACATGTATTTCAGATTTTAAAAAGCTGATTTAGTTAATTCAGGGAAACTCTAGCTAGGATTCTGTGGCCAGATAACATGGAAAAGCTTCACGATGAGTGGAAGTCCCTAAAGAAAGATTTCCTACAGCTGCAATCACAAGTAACTCCCATGAGAAAGAAAAATGTGGTGCACAAAAATTAGTGACAAGGTATTTTTCACACATAACAAATGGAATGAAAGGTCACCAAAAACAAGTACAAATGACCAGCCCAGACTTGTAGGGGTGGTGTCAAGAAAGCTAAAGTTCAGAACAGTGCTAAGAGCTACAAAGCTGGGGAGGAGTCAGGTATGTTTGAAGTAAAAGAAAGGCCATGGTGTGCCACTGCTCGAGAAGCATGATGAAATGTTAATGGATGACAGTGTAAGTCAGAACAAACAAGTTGTAATATTGCACTCCTACTTTACCTTAATCTTTTCCCAAAGGAAGAGCTATGTACAACACGTTAAGTTCTCTGTCTTAGAGTATTGGATTAGGACAGGAGAGACTCAGGTAAAAATCCCCACCACTCGTCAAAGCTCACATTGGGACAGCTACTATCTCTCAGCCCAAGCTATCTGATGGGGCTGTTGTGAGACTAAAAAGACATGGGAAGAGACTTATGTATGCCCCTTTCATTTCTTTCAAATAAAGCCATGCTATAAATATAGACAGGCCTACTAACAGAGGCATCTCCCATGTGGTCTGTATAGTGCCTACAGAAATTGTAACAAAATGCCTTTATTAATCTAACAGATATGAGATCAAAGATTTGTTTACTCATGGCCTTAACAGTATAATAATACTGAGGTATGTATAGGACTGAAGCCATAAGGTGTTTCCTGTGATGTTCAGTATCAGAAATGACAACCAGATGAAATAGAAAATGTAGTACAGGTAGTCCCTGGGTTATGGACAAGCTCCATTCCTGAGAATATCTTTAAGTTGAATTATTACAGCATTGTAATAATGATAATAATACAGCAATAATAAAGTAACTACAGGTACTGGGGAGAGAGAGAGAGAGAGAGAGAGAGAGAGAGAGAGAGAGAGAGAGAGAGAGAGAGAGAGAGAGAGAGAGATATTATGTCTATGTGTGCAGGTATACAGTATTGAAAAATTGTCGTAACTTGCCTTATTACTCATTAAGCACTGGTTATTGAAGAAAATCAAGTCAAAGGTGTTCAGTTTAAATTAATTCTATGTGTGTTCATGAATTAAGGCTGCTGCCAAGCAACAGAACATAAATGTTGAATAAGCTGCGATTTTTCCATGCCCATTTTGAAGCTTTGAATGCCTTTGCTTCATAAGCTGAAATTCAATAGGCAAACTTGCTCAGTAGGGCTATATAATATCATAAAAACTGTAGCCACTGAAGTTTTGTCTACTGCACCAAGTGTAAAAGGCAAAGGATCATCAACAAAAAAGTTCTTAGGGATGCGAGAAGCAAGATTCAGTTTGGCTCTCTCTCTCAAACTTCTACATGTTAGAAAGGGTATTCAAATTGCAAGGAATACAGTTCAATTTGCAAGGAATACATTCAGTGCTGTATAGTATTTGACAGCATTTATACAGGAAGAGAAAAAGAGTGTGAGAGCCAGAGTGGTGTTAAGGATGCTGGACTGGGGCCCAGACAGCCTGGGTTCTAGTCTCTTCTTGGCCATCAAACCACCTGCGTGGTGTTGAGCTAGCCAGACTCAGCCCAACCTACCTCACAGGGTTGTTGCTGAGGGGATAAGACCGACAGCAGCAGCAGCAGAATGATGTAAGGTGCTTTGAGTTCTTTAAAAAAGAAAAAGGCGGCATACAAATCTAATAAATAAAACTTAGTGGGAGGACGGCACTCTAGGATTTTCACCCTGAATACAGCCGGCAGGACTGGGGATACAAAAGCAAGGTCTGTCAGAACAGAAAGATCAAGGTGAACGTGGAGGAAGGCGTCGCCTTTCTCCTGAGAAGCCCTCGTGAAAGGGCTCCGTAACTGTGAGGGGCAACTGGAAAGAGCGGGCCGGGGAGAGAATCAGCAGCAGAAGAGACGGTCAGAGACTCAGGACCGTGCGCCGCCCTCGCCGGATGCAATCACTCTACCAGGACAGGGGCAGTAAACCCTTCACGCACGGCAAAGGTAAGAGGCAAGCGGGATCGCGCCCCCTCCCTCACTTTAGACAACTGGCCCACCGACATTTATCCCGCCCCGCTGACCCGCCGCTGCCTACTCACTGGACTGAACCTGGCCGTGGAGCAGCAGGGCCCCAAACAGAAGGCAGAGAGTCTTCTGGCCCAAAGACGGCAGCCACGGCATTTCTCCCGCCACCGTCTTGCGCCTGGTGGCAGCCATGTCTGCTGACGAGCGGTGGCCAGGGGACGTGGCCTCGCCTCGGCCCGCCCACCGCCGTCCACGGCTGCTAGGCAACAGCGTTCCTCCAGACGAGGTGACGTAACGCTTTTCACCGCCCCCTCCATGCAGAGAGCGAGGCGGAGAATGAATGACTTAGGGAGCTCGAGGAAGTACAGACGTCCCTACTGAGAACAGTTCCGGGCATACCGAGGGGCGGGGATGGGCGGACGTATATTACCCCCCGGAATTTTAGAGTATGTGTTTGTCTTCAATTTTCTATCTCTGGGAAACTTCCAGGAAAAAAATCGAATGCCCAACCACTCGATGGTGGAACCTGGATTTAAGGGAACGGATCGCATTCGATGTGGCGGACTGCGTTGAAGGGCACTGTACACACTTACCTAAGAGTAAATTGCATTGCTCTCATCATGTTTTCTTTCTGAGTAGACATGCATCAGATTGCACTGTTAAACTATAACCTCATACTCCTATACCTGGAAGTAAATTCCCTTGAACTTAGTGGAAGTAACTTTCTGAGTAGGCATATTAGGACTGTGTGTTAGACTGCAGTCTTGTATTCTGTATTCACTTGCAAGCATGCCCCATTGAACCCGCCAGGACTGACTTGAGTAACTACCGTACGTCTAAGATTGCACTGCTCTGTAAGACATCCCCCCATCCGTACTCGCTGACAGTTGTAGTAATAAGAAAAACTCAACAATGCTGGTTTGTTTCAGGAGTGCGGTACGTGGTCATAGCAGAAAATCCACAATATTTGAATAGATGAATAAACAGTTCTGACTAGTGCACACTGGTGCCAAGAAAAGTGCCCATGAATGCATTGGCACAAACACCAAGTTGCCTATTTCTAATGCAGAGCTAAACCTTTTCCAGCTGCTGATTCTGACTATTGCCTGGCAAGGCATAGTACAGCAAACCCCATGAGAACCATCCTTTCATTAGCTTCAGCTGCTCCTTTGTCAAGTATGTTAGACATCTAATTACAAACCTACTGAAGTATAGGTAGAAATGCTTGTTCTGAGCAGAGTGATCCCGGGTCCCTAGAGAACATCTAAAAGACCATAGGATCCTTTTGATTGCAAGCTGTGACTTCAGTACTGGGGATCCACACTCAAATCATTCTTCCCTGCCCCACCTTGCAGCCATCACAGAAAGAGCCATGTCAGCTCCTTCTCTGAGGCATAATGAACATTCGGCTGAGCAGGAAAGGGGAGACCACCAGCACTGCCAAGATAGATGCATCTTGGCAGCACCTCAACTTTCTCCCCTCCCAAAGCATCACAGTTAGCCAAAAGTAGCCATCTAGTTGCTTTGCAGGGCAGGAGTCATACAGATAGGACTTTTCCCTGTTTCTCCCACCCTGCATAAGGTGTTCATAATCCTCTGAGTTTGAAGGGCTATGGGCAGCCTCATTGGATCCTTACTAGACTAAGAAGACAGACATTCCTAAGATAATGTTATGATTTAAAGATACAAGAGTTAAAACACCCTCTGGGCTAGTTCCAGTTGTGGGGGACTGCCATCTTTGATGCCCCAAGTGCCTCATCACAGTCAAATGAAGTCTGCTACCTGTATGGAGATACTGCATTCATGGCCTCTTTAATTTAGAAGCAGGCATAACCATTTTTTCCAATCTTGGCCAGGCTGAGAATGCAGAGGCAACCCCAGCCATTGCCACAGATGCTTGCATGGGGAGTCATCAGGCATTACATGGGAAAGATGAGAAGGCCTAGCCCACCCTAATTCACAGGGCTGTTCCATTGCCTTAAACCCTACTTGCTGGATTTTCACTTGCTTGCTTTTCGAACACTCAGTAATCAGTAAAGTCTGTTTCTAGCGAACTGGCTCTAGCTACATACCAGAAGTGTCCCTCATGTGTTTATCCAACTGTACTTAAGAACAACCTATCATCACTATGGAAAGTCAAAACTACAAGCTGAGGCTGCTCAAAGAGATGTATTCCACCAAAGCAGATCAATACCATTTCCTCATTTTTGTGATAAAGCTTACAGTGTGATAGTTGGTATATCCTTTAACTAGTTCAAAGCTACAACAGAAATATATGCATTACACTTACCTAGACAGTTGACTACTTGGGCAAGCATCTGAAAGGACAAGTCATCTTTCACTGCTGTGCCAGACAAAACTATTTGTTTTTATTTTAATTAATTATTCTGACCTTTATCCCATCCCATTAGCCATTAAGCCCCCTGGGTGGGTTGCAATTTTAAAAATATATAATAAAATATAATAAAATATTAATGTAACAATAAAAGCTAACAAGTAAAACCACACTGTTGTAAAATTCCACAGAACCATGGGTCAGCATAAAAGGCACAACGATTTACAGCCAAGTAGCTATTAATAGCCTTCTCCATGAATTTGTACAATCCCCTTTCAAAGCCCTCCAAATTGGTGGCCATCACTACTTCCTGTGGCAATGATTCAACAGTTTGTGTGAAGAAATACTCTCACCTGTCCTGAATCTTCCACCAGTCAGCTTCATGGGATAACTTTGGGTTCTAGTATTGTGGGAAAGGGAGAAAAGGGTCTCCTCCTCCACTTTCTCCCCACCAGGCATAATTTTAAACACTTCTCATGTTTTCCCTTATTTGCTTTCCTACTAAGCAAAAAAGATCTCAGTTGCTGTAACTATTCCATATAGGGGAGTAACTTAGACCCCTTTAGTTGCCCTTTGCTGTAAGCTTTCCACCAGATGAGCAATCTACCACACTTTCTCCATGCCCATTGCAAAACCTATGTCCAAGAGTCAGCTCTCCCACTACCAGAAGCACATCCTCAGTGTGAGAGAATAAGTACTCATTTTGCACCTTGCTCATCCCTTCTAAGTGATCATTCCCAGTTTCTCAGAACAGCACCCTCCTTCCCTAAGCCCCCATTTCCCATGACAGCAAAGGAACAGTCACCCAAGAGTTGGGATCCTACTATTTGGTCCTATGGAGTCTCACCAGCCCACTTCTCTGCCTCTTTTCTTTTCCAGCTCAGCAACCTTGGCTTCAAAAAAACAAATGTATTCCCACAGGGCCAAGCACACACCCAAAGCATCTGCCCATATTTGTACACATGGTAGTCAGTGCGATACATTGGATAGATGCCACCCTGCTGAATTTCTACCTTCCTAATTGGGCTTAATTGGTATTATTGGATTGTTCACCTGAAAACTTAGAGGTCCTTTTTAGTGTGTTCCTTTTTTTCTAGAGTAGAATGGTAGATGCAGTTGTTCCTTTGCATCGTACACCTGTTCTGTGCCCTTGTCTCCTTGCTCTGTTGCTTAACTTGCTTGTGGACTGAAACACTTCATCGCTGGGGCACCTCAGTCAGAGAAGCGGGACTCCTCACAAGCCTGCCTTTTCACATAGTTCCAGATGGCGCAACTGGAAAGCAAGGGACCAGAGGCTGTGGCTGAACTCCTGCTGTGCTCTGGCTTCCATTGATTGGGGATGTGTGCTGTTAATTGCCCTGTCCCCCCAGGAGTGGAAATGTTCTGTTCAGTGGAGAGCACAATAGTGAATGGGTCAGTGGAGGGGACAACAGACAAAGGGAAAGTGCTCTGTGCAGGGATGTGGTTCGGAAGACTGATTTCCTTTGAGTGTGAATTAAATCTAAGTGATAACCTGGACTCTCAAACTTGGGATTTCTTTATTTCTGGACTTTAGTTTATTAGCTTCTCTGTAGACCTAAAAATCTGAGCCTGCACTGGGCCCAAAATGAAGCTACCCTGCATTTTATGTTTATAAGGAGTCATGTCCACTAGCTAGGGCTGCCCAATGGCTTTTTTCCCTTCTTTCTATGCCTGGGTTTACTTTAAATATGGACTCCCTGCTTGAATGACTATTTAAATCATTGGTCTGCCTCCTCATGTAGTCTCCTGTGACAGCACCAGACTCTTAGGTGACCTTTTTCCTCTGAACTGGAGTTGCTGCACTAAACTGGAAAGCAGATCTTCTACATCAGGGGGTAGCCAAATGCAGCTCTTTTGAGTTTATTTTGCAGCTCACAGAGGGCTTGGAGTGCCCCTGCCCCCACAGTCTCGACCCTAGTGATGGCACGGCCATGATTGTGACAAGCTCTCCTGAGATTGCCATCCTGTCCTCCTCTTTTCCTAAGGCTCTGGAAGTGAGTCAGGATGGCGGCCTCGCAAGAACTCACCCCAGCATGCCCTGTCCACTCTGGCTGACTTTAAAAAGCCAACGTCAAGAGGCATCTTGCCCCACTTCCTGCATGTGGAGAGAACGGGGACCAGTCGCAGCCCCAAAGAGAATGTGTTGTTTATGTGACCACCCCTGAAGATGGCGACCTTATTGCTGCTTGTCCTTCTGCAGCTCCTTCAAAGGTCCCGAAAGGACATGGTCTTCCAGTTAGAATTCCAACAAGGAATTCTCAGCACTTCTCACTAAGCTATAATTGCTGGGATTCTGTCTATGTCTCTGCTGCTTTTGATTAACATGGCATTTGCTTTGACTGTTTCTAAAGGTCCATTTCTTTGGGAAGGGCATCCCATAGTTAGTGTTCCTGGTTCCTAGTGCCTATGTGTCTTATCATGCACACTAAACAATCATACACTGGTAATAAGAACACACTTTCATAAGGTCATAATAAATATTTGTTCATGTCATGCAGCTCTCAGTCACCTGACATTTACCATATGTGGCTTTTCTGTTGAGAAAGTCAGGCCACTCCTGTTCTAGATGCAAACTATCTGTCTTTCTACTGAATCATAGTATTTCCCTTCCCTATCAAAAATGATTTTTTTATTTTTAAAAAAATTAGCCAAGCAAGATAAATTTTCAAAAGTTACATGGGGCATTTTAAGAACACCTATTTGTACATACATATTAAATATTACATGCCAAAAACATCCTTGGTGTTTCCTTGGGGTAAGAAACCTACTTGTTCTTCCTTTATAATGTTGAAATTTAGATTCAGATGACACATCAGATTGGCAAAAGCAAAACATCTAAGGGAACAGGAACAGTGTAATACAACTGCTATTGCTTACATAGCATCAAGAATCAATGTCAAAAGTTTTCCAAGGTCATAAATCTACTGATACAAAGTCCAAACAATGTTCATTTTCTCATCACAAGTAGCTTATCCATTACAGGGGAAAGAGCAAATATCCACAAAAGACCTATAATCGTTTGGTAGAAATCTTGATGCAAACAAAGTCTCTGTTTTCACTCAGACTGCCTATCTTCCCCCTTTTAGTCTCCTATCCAGAGTGTCCACAGCAGACAGGTAGGAAACCTGTGGATTCCACCTATTGCTGGAATCTATCAGCCCCAACCTGCATAGCCAATGGTCAGAGATTCTAGAAGCAGTAATCAAGCAACCTCTGGGGCCAGGCTTGCATTGTTGGTAGTGTAACTCTGAAAATTCCATGTACACTAAAGTGACTATATTTACAAACAAACAAAAGCCAACATTACTCTGCATTTTTTCCTAAGCCATAAACTGTACAGCCACTTTTGTATGGAATAGTCTGTGTGTTCATATTTCTCTCTGCACTGGTGAAAAAGGGGATTGAACAGTGAAGCAAAGGATATGCATAGCTCTGCCCATGAGATACATCCTCTTTACAATTTAGTAGGAAAAAAGCCTGTATTACCCTCCCAACAATTGTACCAGATGGCCTAAAAAGCATAAGGCCGTTCTCAACCCTTTAACACAAACTCAAGGGAGGTGTGCCAACAGGACTGCAGCCAAAGCATAACTACTCAGAAGCACAGTGGAGGTGTATTAGTTTAAAACGAATACAAGGGAACAACCCTCTCCCCAAACACTGTTGAATGTAGTGTGAGTAAGCAATAGCTACAGGATGGTATGTGTCAGCTGGACAAGCAAGCACAGACATGGAATAGACAGGATGCAGAGACCTAGAGGACCAACGGGCTAGCTAGCATTCCTGTTAGAACAGTATGTTGTAAATATCACTTGTTCCTTTTATATTAGAAAATTTGCTAAATGTATTGGTCTATTCACTTTTAAATGGTTGCTTTATGAGAAAATTATAGCGATGCATTGTCAAGAGAAATGCTGCAGTAATGCTTTGGTGATCATCTAAATAGCATACTACATTGTGGAAGAATACTGACACAATTAGAAATGGAGTTTCAATGTTTTATTCAAGTTGGGGAATTGTTCATTTTAAGTGGTGTCCAGTACAGCATTTTGGGGTCTAGTTCCACACAGAAGAATGGAAGACTGAAGATGTACCCATTAAAACTGCTAAAAAAAAGTGGTAAAACAAAGTTCATTTTGTTTAATGCAATGCCACTAGGTGATTACGATTACAAAGACTTTTCCCTGCTTATGGCTCTGTTGTACAAGCTTTTCCATAATTAGTGCAAGGGAAAGGAATCACAACACAGGATGTGAATTTTAAGTAGTATTGGCTGAGTCACGTCAAACTTTCTACACGCCAAAGTTATACGAAGTGAACACTCTAAAGCACTCCAAGGACTAGCTGTTGGTGTAAAAAGAGAGCTGTAGGTGTAGGAGGGAGAACTAATTAAGACTTATATGTGGGTGATGCATCTGCCTAAGCATCCCCTTACCAGACAAGTTGAAGTACTTCATCATAGAATGAAAGCCTGATTTGTCCAGGAACAGGAAATTGGCTTTCCTGGGCACTATGATAGATTGACATTCTCAAAGCATGAATTTTAAATATGTCTTCCTTTACAGCAGCCATTACCTTAGGAAAAGGTAAAAGACAGAATCAGACCTTCATCTAACAGTTGGTAAGTATGGAGCTTCAAATAAGCAACATTCCCCGAAGGTCTGGAGGTGGAGAAGGTACTCTCATCCCTCTCTGAAAAGCATACTTTGAAGCTTAGCCTTCGTTCACCTGGTTCAACATGACTGACACACGGCAATAATTGCATCCCAGACATAAAACATTGAAAAGTACACTAAATTCGGAAGGTAGCTATGCTGTATAGTATTTCAGAATTAGTGATGGTACAATCCCTTTGTTTATGCTTCAAATTCCAGTCCTAGACCTAGTTTATGGCCGCCTGCATTGACATTCTTCCCATCCAGCAAAGCTGACAGTGTCAATTTGATACCTGCAAAATAAACAGTAGGAGAAAAGATGTAAGCATTTATACTAAGAAATGTGCAGGCATTTCACACAATCTGATCCAACAATACACCGAGAGTTGTTTAAGAACTGGGGATTTTGTCACCCCAGCCCTATTTAAATTGACAATATGCAGCTTATGTGCTACTTTATATGCAGCACAGCAGAGGTAGGTACCGTGTGGCCTTTCTGATTTTTACGCTAAAATTCCCTTCGATCTTCACCACAGGCTCTGCTAGCTAAAGCTGATACAAGCTGTAGGCCAAAAAATTTGGAGGGCCACTGGCTTCCTATTCCTGAGATAGACGTCACAACAAAAGTGTTTAGTGGTCACATGACTACCAAAAGTGCTGAGGGTCAATAAAATGTCCACCCACCACTCACAGAGTTATTCTCAGCAACTCTGTCTTTCAACTCGCCCTCTTAAGTATCACAGCTTTGATTAAGACAAAGGGCGCAATCTGGTTTGAGCAAATGTACATGAAAGAGCTGGGGAAGTTCTTTGACAACATGCCTGAATGAAGAAAGAGAGCCCATGTCTCTCAAAAAATGAGTGCTCCTCTAATCAGGTCAGAGTAGGTCAACTCCAGCCAGCAGTGGATGGAAAGGTGGCCACTCCACAAAGGCATTCCTCTTGCCTGGCCTGTTTTAATTGCCATCAACTTCAGAGCATGGTATTGCCATCTCCAAGGAGTCTGTTTAGCTAAGGACTGTGAAATGAGGCTTCTATCACAATATAATGAAAATCCTCCATGCTTACAGCAGAGGTATTTAATAACACCTCCACAGAGGCATTGCTGTTCATCATTCATTCATTCATTCATTCATTCAATTTATATGCTGCCCCACTAGCTCTCGCTCTCTGGGCAGCTTACAACATATTAAAATTCAACAATAAATACAACACAATATAACATTTGCTACAAACCTCAATAATAATAGGAATAAAATCAGTAAATAAATTAACAGGATTAAAACCAAAATAGAAAAAATAGAATTAATATTAAATACTATATACATATATAAAAATCCCAAAATAAACCATTAAAATTAGAAATAAATATCCCTCCTTTAAAATCAGGTTCCATTGGCAGCAGCATAATTAAGAGTTGTGTAATGAATGTTACAATATCTGAGAACTTCAAGGATCAGTCACTAGGCTGAAAAGTGATTAAACATTGCAAGTAAAGAAATAATGTATTTATTGCTGAAAGAATGTTTGGTTTGGAAAGAACAATGCAGTCCAAAACAATGCTATCTACACATACCTGGCTTCAGAGTCTGAGTATATCCTAAACCAATCAAGCTGGAATTATTCACTTTAGCCTGCAAAACAAAGTGAGTGTATTTCAAACTTTCCTCTTCTAAAGTTCTTGTTGCATAGAACACTTGCAGAACTGACACATCAAAGGAAGGAAATGTAAAGCACAGAATGCATGCTACTTGATTTCATGAATGGTTCTTTGAAATTGAAGTGTCACTGAACTCAGTGGGTTTACTTTTGGGTAAATGTACACAAGATCGATTCCTTAGTGATACTTATGTACGACTCTACCAGGGTTGGGAAATATATGGTGCTTCAGATGAGGCTGGAATGAAACTCCCCTGAACTCTCACCACTGGCTATATTGGCCAGGAAGGATGGGAGTTCCAATTCAACAATATTTGGAGAACCACATGCCCCCCTCCCCACTCCACTGGATTATACGAGCAAGAAGCTTTACAGCATTCAAAGCAAGATATGCTAGCAAGAAACAACCTATTTCCCCCCTCCCACTTCTGCTGAGTTTGTCCTCAGGGGGTCAGCAGAAGGCTGTTCTTGCTGTTCAACTAGCAGATGCAATTGTCAACCTAGATTGTTAGCCAGTTACTGATGCAGAGGCAACCACAGGAAAATTTTACTCTATGGATAAATGTCTTTCTGAATTTGAACCCAAAGCTCGGGGCAACTTTTATATAGTTCAGAATCCCCTTTCAGTGTCTCCACCAGTCTCCCAGTTCTCAGAAAGCCTCTGCAAAGCAGCCCTAACTGATGGAGTGGCCCTGAGGAAGTAGGACTTCACTTCCCACTCTTCAGAATATCTACAGGGGTGTGTCATGCATTATTCCAGCAAGTAAATCATAAATGAAGATATAGTCAACCACGCCTTGCCCTGCCTTCCTATATGATAGTAGCTTTGTCCTACCACCACTCCCAATTGCCCTCCCAGATGGAGCTTTGCTAGGTCCTGCCCAAGAGTGGCTCTAACAGAAAGGGGTCTCGCTAGCAGAGAATTGTTTTAAAGGAATAGCTCTACTGAGCCTGTGCGTATGGCTATCCTCATCTTCCTTCTGGTCTCAGGGTCCAAGTGTCTCCAAGGCAACATACGCCAGAAACATGTATAACTTTCACAACAATGCCAGTTTCAGCACACACAGAGGTCAGCGCTTTGGAAATTAAGCCTTATATTCGAAGGCTTAGTTTTGCTTCTGATTCTTCCCCAGGATAAAAAGGATGAGGAAACGGGATGTGCAGTTTTCATGAGCTATAAGGATGCATGTGATAACTGGGAACCAGAGTTTGATTTTTTTTTAAATCCGTGATTTTGTTTGGTTTTAAAAAATTAGATTTCTAGGACTCTTTCAGTCATGCAAAGAATCGTGACTTTAGGGGGGCAATCCCATGGTCCCTGGACATTTTTCACTTCCCAGTTTCAAGGCTGAAGACAGTATTCCAACTTCTGAGCTAGGAACTAGAGCTTCACCTTCCTTTCTCATCTCCTTGTAAGTCAACATGGAAAGAACTGCACTAACTGCTCTCTGAGGTCAAAAAAGCAACCCTGGAGAAGGGGGTAAAGGGAGTGTTTTGCAGGGTGGAGAGGAAATTGGAAAGCCCAGGATACAAAGTATCCTGAAACCACTCCAACCCTCCTCTTTTCCCCTTCCTAGATGCTCTAGTTGGACAAGTGCAACAATCCAGCTAGGGAAAATGCAGGTGGGAAGCTGGGAAGGTAAAGATTGTGTCTACCACTCCTCCTCCTCTGCACTGGATGCCCATAAGCCTCCACGTTCAGGAGCTTACCGGCAGCCTGGCAGAACTGCACCCTCAGTCTCATAAAAACCAAGCCTCCCACTAATCAAACATGAACATTCCGTTCGTCTTGTAAAAATGCCTCTACCAGCTCTTGCTCCTTGGACACTCCAAGCCGGCAGTTTCAGTTTCTCTGACTGAAGCCACAAGTGCAAAGACACAGGCTAGGCAGCAGTGTGCGGTTCTGCTGGAGCGGAGCCACAAATGCCAGAGGAGTTAGTTAAGGCAGAGGGTCAATACTGGAAAGGGAGAGTTGAAGACAGAGTAGAAAGGTACCATGATGGAAGGATGGATGGATGGATGGAGAAAGTGCCCTTGTATTTATATCAGCAGTTTGTCCTAAGTAGTATTATGTACTATTTCTTAAATTAATAAAATGAAGTAATCTAAAAAAGGAGCCAGAATCTACTCTCAATGTTCTAAAATGCTGTACTGAGTTTCAAATTAACATGTTTTCATCACCAGATTGATTCCACTGTTTAAGAAATAACAGTAGCAACTTGAATTAAATCAGGGTTTTCTTCTGGTGATTTAAATGTTTTATGTCACACACACTTGGATGCATGTTGCATATGTATCTATTATAATAGGTATATTCAACTATTTTGGTAGAATTCTACACCTGTAATACTTTATTTTATGTTTTATGGTTTTTCTTTTTGTTTGCTTTTGTTTTGATTAAAGTCAAATAAAATTAATACAAATAATAATGCAAATTAAACCACCTTTCTCAAAGGTGACAGTTGTTCACTGCAGGCAACTAGAAGCATTCTAAATACACAAAACTGCAGTGTTCCTTTATCCAACATGAACACTTTAATAAGAGCAGTTAGATGGTCTAAGCTTATATAACTAATAATATATTTTTAAAAAAATATATAAATGCAGACTTATATAACTAATAGTATATTTTTTAAAAAATATAAATGCAGAAAGGTAACATGCAGAGGGGAAAGCAAAAGGAAAGTAAAAGGTAACATTCTAAGAAACAGTATATGGTAAAGAATACGGGGACACAAGCATTCATGTTTTTTCTCTCAGTGTTTCTTCCCTTGTTTATTTTATTATTTATTCATTTAAAACTTTTCTAGACTGTCCCATTACCAAAGTCTTGGGACGGTTTAACAATACAAAATGTAAAGTAAAACACAGTGTCCTAAAAATTCATCAGTAAAACCCCAATTAAAGCAATTGCCCCTCACCTTATAAAAAAGCAATTCTGTAAAGCAAGAGGAGGCACCATATTCAATGCCATATTTTTAAGGCTCCAAGTGGTCTTGGAGTTTACGAAGAGTTAACAGTCATGAAATCACTCAAAGGACTGCCCACATGTTACTCACAGAGAAAGAAGCATCTGGGTCAATCTGATATTTGGCTGCTATTCCAAAGCGAGTGTTGCTATTTCCGGCTGTCCAAGCAAGATTGACAGCAGTTTCCAATTTATCATTCACCTTCTGATAAATGGAACCTCCAAATTCTGTCCCATCATTCCTGTAAGGAGAACCAGGTTTAAAATTTTATGGGAACCTAAACAGTGAAAGCTTTTTCACCATGTGCCACCAATATGACTGTGACTATGAAATCACTGACAGGCAGCACAAGTCTTTGTCCCAACAGCCAACTGCAAAGCACTGGAAGGTATTTAAAAATATTTGGAATGTTCCCTTACTTTAATAGGGCAACTATAGAAGTGCTCATGCCATCTTTCAAAAATGAAGAAAAACCCCTACTAGTCATCAAGACAAGTTATCACCTCCCTGCAGCAGTGCCCCGAAAGACTTCTGCCCTTTGTTGGGGTACTTTTTCCAACACAGTGTTTTCAACACTTACACATTAGTGTGAAGCTGGAATTCATCAGTCTTATAACCAACAGCAAAGTTGCTCTGAGTTATTCTGGACTTAGCTGTCTCAAATGTCATCTGGTAGCCAGCCAGCCAACCTTCATAGCCAAAGACAAAGGCACCACGTATTGAAGGACCCGCAATATCAAAATCCATGTCACAACCCAAGTTGATATGTTCCCGCTTGTATCCAGATTTAATTTTAGCATTCTTCTTTCTGAAAAGAAAACAGTATTACATGTTACTCTTTCTATATTATTCATTCTAAAGTTTTCCCCACATCTCCCCAAAGGTTTTCTTCTTCAAAGTGGCCCATTGGAAGAAAGGTGGCCTCAGAAAGCACTGAGCTCAGGCAAGTGAGGTCTCAGGCGGTCTCACCCAGAATGCCTCACTCTGAGATAACTCCCCCCAGAACCAGGCAATTGGGCCACACAGCACATTTTTCATAATATCCACACTTTCACAAGGACATGTTTGGATCATCATATCTTGGCTCACTGCATAAGCCTTGTGGCCAAGCAGATGCAAGCAAGTAAACAAATCGCCTCGACTCACCTATAGTTTCCCATGTCATCTGAGCTTGGAAATTACAGGTAACTGTTTCAGAAAAACCAAAGTATTAAACCATGCCACTGTTGTGCCAGTATGGATGTGTGAATTACCTCAAAATTTTATCTCAAAGCTTGTATCAATTCCATATCAGATTGCAACTTTTCTATGAAAATCTGGCTGTATTTTTGCGATATTTTTCTAAATGGTTCAATCAATTGTGCATATCTTTGAAATGCACACATTCTTCCCCCATTGGTAAAATGTACTTGTGCGCATTTTTCTAAAATACAAATTTTGTCATGCCCTTTTTTCAAATGTTGTCAAATATGATTTTTATCAACAAATCATACGGTCATCTTGGAAATGTAAGGACCTCTACTGCAGATTATGTCTGATTCCACATTCCAGAAGGTGCAAACTGAGGAAAATGAACTGAAACAAATGGCTCCTTTTAGGTATTCAAAAAAAAAGGTACAAAAACTCAACTTTTATTACAAGTAGTGATAACCCAGTGAATACATTATCATTGATCACTGCCTGGTTTGTGTGCTACAGGTGTATAATCCAAACTAGATGACTAAGATCTGATTTTCAGTTTACCACATTTCTACCTCATTACTCCTTGAGGTGAAATTTAAAAATCAATATCTGAATTTTACAACAAAACCAAATGCAAAGCCAGAGAGAGCAGAGCAGAGAACACAAGGCCAACACCCTGTTAGTGGAATAGCTGCTCCTTCAACATGACCTTCCAACCATGCGGGTGAGCCCAGGAGAAGTTAGTCATAAGCAGAGCAGACACAGCCCATTTAACTGCCATTCCGAGTCTGGCAAAGAGACAAAACTCAAAGGACTTTCAGGAGATCACAATTCAAGGTTCATCACCTACAAGTGCTATCAGTAATACACATTATACCCCACCAGGTCTTATCAAGCAACACTTTCACTCCTGCATTGAAAAGAACAGTGTCACTTAACCACATCATTAATTCAAGGGTGACTGGATTACTTCTAGTTTCCCTGACATTCAGTGAGAGGATGTGTTTATCTGAACCAACCAGCTGTGGCTCCTGAACAGGACTTTAAAAAAGAATTTACATGCAACGGAAGAAACCGCATTATGTGAGCTCAGACTATTTGTCCATCAAGCTCAGAAGTGCTTACTTTGACTGGTAGTGACTTTCTAGGATCTCAGGAAGAAATTCTCCCATCTGCTGAGATCTGATCTCCTAACGGAAGATGCCAGAAGGTGAACCTGGTGCCTTCTGTATGTGAGTACCCCCAGGCTACATTCCCATCCCTAGGGGAGCAGTGGTAGAGGGGACCAGGGCCATGGACACTTCTGCTAGCAAACAAGGAAGGCCACTCCCAGTCGCCTTTCTTCTCCACCCACCCTCCTCATCATCATGCTTGGAACCCACAAGAAGTCTCCTTGGCCATTTTCTTCTTCCCTTTCCAGTTCTATGGGGTATTGAACCTGTGTTCCTTGAATACCCAATCCCCTGGGAGGGATCCCAGAACGAAAAGAAGATGGGCTAGGGAGGTCCCAGCAGCCAGCTTGACATGCCTTTCTTCACAGAACACAGTGGGCAGGCCAGAAAAGTGGCTCCCAAAGAAGGAAACCCCTCCTCTGTGTGGCTCTGCGGCAGGACTTAGTGGCTCCTCTCCTCAGCCATTTCTGGCACATTTCTGCTGCCTCTTGAGATGGGTGGGGAGTTCCTTGGACATGAACCAACCCATGACAAGGAGAAATCTTAGTTCCAGTTCCCATTGCACAAGCATGTTCCTCCATGCCTGCTCAGTCAAAAATGAACAAAACTCCACTGCTCCGGTCCCTACCCACAGAGACCTTCTTTTCGTTGATTTCTAACATAACCTTACAGCACTCATTGCTCTGTTCAGTAACTAAGTAGTTTTGAAAGCACAGTTACTGCAACTTTGTTCCTAAGACCCAAAGCAGATAGGAAGCTAAGACATGCCACCGACTGTTGCATTCTTTGGTTTTTTTTAATTGCTAATAACAGGCACCCACAGTTTCTTCCTGGCTTGTTAAGGAAGCCTGAAGGAACAGCAGAAGTAGCTGCAAACCCAAATATGAAGGCCATGGAGTGACTGGAGACTGATGTGTGTACATCTTAATCAGACACAGAGGACACAAAACAAATACAGCCCTCATCTCAGGAAATGTGATGCGCTACTTTGAGCTGTGTAATGCTCTGACATCAGGGGTATTTAGGAAGGATAATAAAATGGACACAGAGGGGGACACAGAGAGGTGGGGGGAGAGGAATATTAATGACACATAATCTCCCAGCTGCTTAATCTTTCTGGCCCACACAACACACAGAAGAAATCACAGCAACCAGTCTTTCATTCCAATTCCATATAGTGTTACGGTCCGCAAGGACTGACATTAGAAAAAGAGGTTCCAAAGGGCACAACTGAGCAGTGTAGAATACGATGCTTAACTGGCAAGTGGTACCATTTAAAACTGACACTGGTGAACATCCATTTTTTGGCCTTGTAAGAACAATGAGTGCACTTTAGGCCAAAATTAGCAGCAACCATGACAAATTCGGCTATTTTAAATATTTTTAAATAGCATTACACCTAAAAACTTACTTTGATATAAAAGCAGGAGGTAATTTGAAAGAAGGGGGAGATATAGTTTGAGCAGATGCAAATGTTAAGTTACTAGATGCTTTTGTACTTCAGATGGGAAAGGATGTCAGAAAAAGGGAGCCAATCCTATGGCCTGTAGACACTGTGCAGGGCTAATGGGAGACTTTCAATTCCCAGCAGAGCTCTGACCTCGGAGGTTAGGATCTATGCCCTGATCCCCCTCCCACACCCCATAGCCCTGCCTGGCACTGGATGCTGGTAATCCTTTGGGTTTGGACACTCATGAGCATCAAGGACGCAATCAATATGATTGTGCCTGTAAGCAGCATCACAGCAACTAACACCAAAAAGTGTGATTCTGCCATTCAAAGACAGCCATTCCTTACCCAGTGTTAGGAGAAAATGAAGAGTCAAAGGTCAGCTTCAGTCCTTGTGCAAGCTGAACAGAAAAAGAAAAATCAACAGATGAAAACCAATCCATTTTGAAAGGAAATATTTGCTTAAATATTTAATAAATTACTATATTTTAATGGAACACTCACCTGATCTTCTAAAGTGATCTCTGTGCCTAACGTGTTGTCAGTGTTCCACTTCTCTGTGAATGTCAAACCATATTCTGTCCACCTGTACTTAGTTTCCAAACTTCCAGTAACTTTGCTTGTTTCTGTATTTGCTGATCCTGAGCTTGTAAATTCCTGTGAGCAACATGTTTATATACAGTGAGAAACTATTTACTATTCACATCGGCACCTTACAGAATTACTGGAAAAAAACAGATCCCCAAGAGCTTGTATGCTAACAAGGAAGAAATTTCCCTTCCATTCTCCCAAAGCCTTTTGTGTATTCTCACAGATCTCTTCTGTTAATTCTGAAGCAGTCAGAAATAAAAATAAACCTTGTTGAATGCTGTGCAGGGAGAAGTACTTTTCAGTGGTGGCACCATATCACCACCCATCAAACCCAGAAAAAAGTAAGAAATATCTGACTTGTTTCCCAGCATGGATCTTGGGAAAATGTTTGCGATCTTGCAGAATAAGGAATGAAATACCTTCAAATCCAGCATTTCAACATAATATTGGGGAATGTCCTATACTCCTAATGCATCTCCATTAGTCCCATTGCACTCCCACTACATGTGCAACCAGAATTAGCACATTCCAAAAGAACCCCAGCAATGCTCTTTCCCAGAACTGGACCCATCAGCAGCGCTGCTTCTGCAGGGTGCACTGACCTGCGCTGTTCCAGAAGCTAGCATTTCTCCTCCTTTACAATTGCTCCAAGAATCACTAGGTTCCCACTGTGCTAATGGGGAGTCTCATTAGCATCCAGGCAGTACTGGATATTTTTCCTTGCTCCAGTAAATGGCCCTGCAGTAAAACTCCTATATCTGAGATTCAAAACTAGCAATTGACCTGCTCCAGACATTCAGAGGCTGGCATTCTAGAGTGAGTTTCTCTGATCTGCAGATCCCAAGCTAAGGATCTTCAGATCCTAAATTATAAAAGGTGGCCCAAGGACTGCCTTCTAACACCCATTTCCTTTTTTCACAATTCTAGTCACTTGAAGGGCTAGAAAGTGCAGCAGCTCCCAAGCACCTTGTAAATGAGGCCAGAAACCCCTGCAACAGGCTGGCCTTTTCTTGAACTCCATGCAAGAGAGAGGAATGGCACATCAGGTTTTGTGCAAAAATAGAAAATGAAGTGGCTATCAGTACACCAGCCTGAAGCACCTCCCCTCACCCCAAATCTGCTCTGGTGGGCTGGGGATCTGCTGGAGTAGATTTTGGGGGTGCCTAGGCTACAGCAGGAGGGGACATCACCAAAAGAGTCCCCCTCCCATTCCACTGCTGAATGACTTCTATCACTGGGGTGCCCCTTTGCACAGAACCCTCCAATTTTAAGTGCTAACGAGGCCGGATACAGTGCCTTTTGGGTTATTTGAGCAGTAATGTAAGCTAAGGTTTACTAAGGCATATGTGCATATTTTTAATTTTTTCCTATTAATGTTTTTCCCCCCTCGGAGTAAAAAGCTATCCTCCATCTCCACTACCCCAACTTCAGTGTTTCCTATGTATCTGAATTGCTAGTCAGAATATAAAGTCACAAATGCAGCCCACAAACAAAAGTTTTCTGCTAATAAGCCACTAGCAAAAGATTAGCTGCATAGCTGCTCCCAGGAGAGACAAAAATATGTAATAAACCCAGGTTACTTTGTCTTATTTTTCTGGTGTTTGTGTTGTAACATGCTAAAGAACTCTGTTTTGGTAATGGTGGCTTGTCTGCTCCTATTGCCTGAGCTAATGTGATTTATAAATATCCCTGCAGCTGAGGGAAGTTGCTAACCATACAGGGTTTGCATTATTCCCACTCTGTGAGAGTAAAGACCTGCAAAGTTGTTTCCAAGGCTACGAAAGATAAGAGGAAAGGAATTATTTGAATATTCAAAATCAGGTCTGTATAAAAGCCTGGATAAACTCAACAGGATCTAAAAACCAGTGCATATCTATATTCTACTAGGAGGAACACAGAATTAGTAAGAAGGCAGATCAGTATTAACTTTTTGCACTCTTTACTCACCAGTCCATTTTCAGATTTAGTTTTCAAATCCAACTTTACCAAGCCAAATCCTAAAATAAAAGCCAGATCTGTGTTAGTTCCCATCCAGAGCTGAGAGTAATTTATCCTTCATAAAACTTCTGTGCAAGAGGAGTATTTAAGGAGCTACACCTATTTCTTTGCTTTTTCTCCACATCCATCCCACCCCACCATGTGGAAAAGTGAAGCCAGGTTGCTTCCCTTTGTTCACAAAGGACGCTATATATACTTAGCATATATTTTGTGTGTGTGGGGTGGGGGTGTGTATTAGATGTGGCTTGTGGCCATGCTTCTACAAACAAACTGAGATATCAAATATTCACATCTCTGTGAAAACAAATGTAGTGCAGGGTAGTCGTTTCAACTCCAGATCAACCTCTCCCAACCTGGTTTTCCCAGCACAGCCTGTGTTGGAGAACAGCTCCATCGTTCCCAGGCAAGATGGAGTCTACTGCATCTGGAGGGCACCAAATACAAAGGCAAATCAAGGCTGCGTTCCACAAGAATAGGAAGGGCCCTTCTTTGCGAGCAGAGAAAGACAGGCTGGCAGGGAGGTAGGTAAGTCTCCAGCAGAGGGGGAAAGGATGTTTCACACTCTTCCGGGCTCACAGTGAGGAGGGATCATGGAACCGGCTGCTGCCGCCAGGAAGCAAATGTGGGCAGCAACCGGTCACTTTGTCCTATATGCTGTTTGTACATGGGTAGGCCTTCTGTCTGCCCAAGGGCTTAGTTCTGTTTAAGACGCTCTCAGCAGTGCCATGCCAGTGGCAAGCGGAGCCAGTGGCAAAAGGGGCAGGGCCAAAAATAACATTGTCTTCTCATAGGATAATTCTACCCCACTTCTTCCTCTCTGAACCCAAGTTGGCTTGCATGATCCTTCTCCTCGCCAGGTTATCTTCACTAAATCAGCCTCATGAGGCAAGTTAGGATGAACGTCTTTGGCTGGTCCAAAGTCACTCGGGGAGCTTCAGAGCCAAGTTGGGACTGTAACGCTGGCCTCCTGGATCCCAGCCCAACATTCTGACCACTACGTTGCAGTGGCTTTGAAGCTTCACGGCCTTACTGCCGGTAACCCAGCCTTAGCAGAGATGTTTTAACCTCAGCAGAAGATGGGGAACCTGCACAAAAGCTGAGAAACCACAAAGAGGAATATAGCTGGATTGGGACCCCAGGGAGGACAGATTTGTCCTCCAAGCTGAGGTTCTACACATCTCCTCTTTTAGAATAAAGAGGGTGTTACAGAAGTACACTATCTTATGCCACAATCTCACAATCTGAGACAATCTTACAGAAACAATCCATTAACTGACTGCAAGCCTGAAGCTACTTATGTGGTAGGAAAGTCCAGTGAAATCCATGCAACTTTCATTTGGATTGCACTTTTAATCTGCAGTGGAGTTACTTGTGATAACTCCAATGATCAATAGCCAGAATAAGAGCAGAATCCTATGCATGTTTTGGTGGTAGAAGTGGGGAGAGAGAAGGTCCCAGCATTCCCCAGAGAGTCTAAACATACACAGGATGTTTGCTAAGCTATAGGGTATTCATCCATAACAAATGAATCCAAGATCAACACAAACTGTTGCAACACAAGTCTATAAGCCAGCATGAAATGTATTGTATAATAAATGTGTGCAAAGTATCTTCCCCCCCAAAAAAAAAGATAGCCATGCTGGTCCATGAGAAAAAGAAAAAATCAAGACCCATGCTAGATAATAGATTTATTAGGGCCAACAAAAATGTGGAAGCTTCTGAATTTGCCAGTGCTCTTATTCTGGTTGATGACACATAAAAGAAGGGGCTGGTGGGAAGCAAAAGACTGAAAATCTGGCCAGTTAGGGCCAAGAAGTCTGTAAGTTAGGATAGGCCCAGTATACAAATTAGTCAGTCAGTCAACGGTGTTGCAGGTATCAGATCACACTCCACAGCACATTTAGAGATGACGCTGCAGTGGATGAATTCCTCTTCTAGAAACACAAAGGCCAGCTGTAACTCTGACCTGACAATTTGAGTTAGACTCCACCACCACCACAGCAAAATGGTTTTCTGCCAGCTGAAGAGTGACTTTTCATCCCCTCCAACCACTTGGTAATATTCCCAACATGCAATTAACGTGTTTTACCCTAATCCCTGCTTTACTAATATAAGGATTGTCATGCTGCTTTGCAGGTCTGCCCTAAGCCAGCTCAGGAACCTGTGTGTTTCATCCAACGCGAGACGCAGAGCAGAGTTACGGCTGGCCTTGGTGTTTCCAGGAATGCAGATGAGCCACAGCTTTTCCTTCCCACTCCTGTCTGGTCAGAAGAAGGCCCCATTGCCAATGAGCCTTACCCTCAAAGGACTGCAGCCCAATGCGTCCCCCCCCCCCCCCGGCAGCACGTGCAGCCAGCCTGTTCAGGGGGCACAGCTTGATTTTATTTATAGACTGCACACTGCGAGACATGCGGGCACACATGCGTGCACACACACACAGTGGAACTGCCATTTGATTAGTGTGACTCAACAGCACAGGTACAGCCCCGAGAGGCATCTGTTTTCCCTTGGCAATATTTACCATATCCCTTGGTGAAAATGTCCCGAGCAGATTTTCCTAGGTCAGCATAAGCAGGGGGGACCGCCATTTTCTGCCAAAAAAAGAACACTGGAATTAACTTTTGCCAATAATCCAAATACCACCAAACTTTTAGTATTCTAGAAGTCACGTAACCACAAAGGGACTTATAGCATCTTCCTAATATTATGGCACTAGGAATCTTTCTCTTCGGTCACTGTTTTGTTTTACTGCTTACTCCATTTATTAGCCTGCTTTTTTTTCTGCTTGCAAGGAATCCAACATAGCTTTCCTGGTGGTCGTCCTCTCCCTTTTATCCTTGCAACAACCTCACAAGGGAGGTTACACGGAGAGTCCTTGACTGACCTGAAGTCACTCCGTCAGCTTCATGGCCAAGTGGGGACTAGAGTCTCAGTTCAACACTCCAAACACTACATCACACTGACACTATTAATAATGAACCACAGAGTTAAGCCCACAAAAAACAAAGCCCATAAAAACAGGCTTAATTCTATGCTAGATTAGTGACTGTTATTTGTAATGCTGGATCAGTACTCATTGGCTGAAAATGCATTTAAAAATTAAGAAAAGATAAAATATTCTACAGCTTTCGTTTACTACTCAGCTCTTAATACAAAGGGCTTCTCCATATCAACAGATCACAGTATTCTCCCAATATTTTAATTGTTAACCTGTTTTAATAGGCGGTTTTATATTGACATTGGATGCTGTGCAGCTGCCACTCATATTTCTATTTTTATTCTATTTTATTAATTTGTTATAAACCATCCCAAGATGTCTGTGAAGGGATGGTATAGAAAAGTTTTAAATAAATAAATAAACAAACAAGCAACGAAGTGGCTGGATATACATGCCCTTGAATACCACTTCAGTATATGTCACCTAATATTGATCTCGCTAATACACATTTTCTCACCCTATAGAACACAAATTTTCATTTCCTCTTTTTCCAAATCTTCCCGGAAGTGAGAGATGATGTATCATTTACTTAAGCATTTTAATCCTATGTTTCCAGTGATGGGAGAGGTTTCAAAATATTTTAATAACTAAGAAGTAAGAAGTAGTGTGGTAGCCCAAAGTATCCATCAGAAAAAGCACACACAAAAATCAAGCCATCGTAACACTGCAGCCGGAGCCAAGCCTTGTTACATGCGGATATGTAATAACCATCATTTTTTAAATTGCTCCAAACAGATAGGACCCACCCAAACCTGTGCTTGGCATTAAGAACTGGGTCCATCACATGCAATTAATAAACCTACAGAAATGCATTGTGAAATAACACATTAAAGTGTGTTGCTCTTCTCTTAAATGTCTGATATGCCAGTCTCTGGTGAACTTGTCTCAAGAGTGTGTTCCAAAACTGGGGTGCCATAGCCAAAAAGGACACAACCATGGCAGATCCCACTTCTTATTTGGATAAACACGGGAAAGGGCCTTCCCTACTTACTGCATTAATTACACAATATAGGGTACTAAATATTTCACCTTATTTTTTACACAGAAGGGTTAGGGTCAAGGTCAGAGTTTAAACAGACTCACAAATCCATTAATAAATTCACCAGCTCTGTGCAGCAGGCTGGGCATTTCACATGGCTTAGGGTGCAATCCCATGCACATTTACCCAGAAAAAAGTCCAAAACTCCTGGGATGGATGGATGGGGACTGTTGGGGATTGTAGTGCTTTTTCTCTTTCAAATTGTTCATAAGATTTAATTTCTTTTGCCAACATCCCTTCCTCTCTGCTTACAAACAACAGATGCTGAGGATGCATTTCTCCTTCCGAAGGCCTTACATATTTATTAAAACATTTTAAATTTGCCCTTCCTCCTTGCAAAGACCAGGGAGAATATAATTAAAACATCAAAAGCACACCATCAGAATAATAAAGTACAAAAGGAAGTAAAACAACAAACAAATAGACAAAATCAGCTAATTAAACCCAGAGAAAGAAAATGCTGGTGCCAGTTGCCTCTGCATGGGGGCTTTCCATCATTGGGGTGCTGCAGCAATGGCCCCTCCCGTGCTAGCAAAGTAACACAGAATAGTTGGGTTGGAAGGGGCCAAGACGGTCATCGGGTCCAACCCCCTGCTGGTGCAGGACACCACGTTACACCATCCCACTCAGATGGCTGTCCAGTCGCTACTTGAACATGCCTCTAGTATGAAAGCGTCTACAACTTCCCTGGGTAATTGGTTTCATAGTCACACTGCTTTCACAGTTAGGAAATTTTTCCTGATATCCAGCCATAATCTGGTTTCCTGTAACTTAAGTCCATTATTCCATGTCCTGCACTCCAGAATGGATGAGAAGAGATCCTGCCCTCACTCTTTGTAACAGCCTTTCAGGTACTTGTAGACTGCTACCATATCACCCCCTCAATCTTCTCTTCTTGAGGATGAACATGCCCAGTTGACTCAATTTTAGCTCACAGGGCTTAGCTCTCAGTCCAATATACCTGAGATACTTGGAGAAGTGCTTCCTCTAACAATCTTATGTCATGGACAAGCTGGGACAGAGAGAAGCCTTCCTACAGATGTTGGTGCTGCAAAGCTTGTAGGGCGTCAAAGGTAAGCACCAACATCTTGAATTGGTCTGAAAACAAAGAGGCAACCAGCTCAGCTCCTTCAGAATTGATATGATAGACTTCTTACTGGTACAGCCTGATGGATGACTAACTGCTACATTAGGCAGTTACATTACATTTGAAGCTGATGCTTCAAAGTCATCTATTCGGAAGAACAGCCCCATGTACAACGCCTTACAGAGATCCAAATGAGGTTCCCCCAGCAAAAACCAATGTGGCCAAACTATCCCTTGTTATTTACAGTATGAATCATCTTACTTTTGCCAATGGAACAAATGTACAAATATATCATAGAAGTAAACGTGGACATTCCATATAGCAAAGGGCAATATCAAAATATGCAAAGGCTTTGGAGTGATCATCGCTACTGTGCTGCTGCTTATTTTGGCTCCACACCAGAAACAATTTGTTCTTCTCCAAGAGCAATACCAATGCCCAAATATCAGATAGGTAGCTTAACTGCTACTTCTGGCCTGAAGCGCTAAGTGCAACAAGCTGCAGCATGCCAAAACAGCATGCCGCTGTTAGAGGACTCAAGACTCTCTCCTTTCGCTTGAGTTGATCTACTACCTCAAACAAAGGAAGCATTGCAAAGAAGCACAGTAGGCCTGCTCACACAGCCAAGGTTCCTGAGACTGCATTAGACAACGAGGATGGGGGTGGAGAATGAGAGCACAAAACTCCTTCAGATGTTAACAAACCCTTCTGTGACCATCTCCAGGGATTCCCTGAGGCTGCCCCCATCTTTGCCAACTTTACCGCATTCCTCCATAAAGTTAAAGCAGATGCTCCTCAATTAAACAGATCTTTAGAGAGGGGAAGAATGCCCAGTCAGGCAAACCTGTACATCCAGTACAGTGACTTTTCTGTGTCTCTAAGAGTCCCAAACTCAACGCATGTCAATTCAATGGGCTAAACGCAGTTATATATGAAAACCAGTTTGCACCGGCCCTCTTTCCTTGCAATAACCGCTGCTCGACAAAGCAGAGAATTTTCAGAATTCCAGAGTTGCCTCCACATGCTGTCCAGGTTGCAAAGCCAGAAATTCCAGCTCTGAGTAGGTGATTCCCAGGGGTTTCCTTCAGCAATGCTGTCCTTTTTAAGCAAGTTGACCACTTCCTGCATAAACAGCATATGGACCTGCTCCCAGCTTTTCTGTCTAGCTCATGCTACAGTTAAGGCAGATTGCCTTGACTCCAACCTGTCGCCACTCCATTCTAAAAGGTAGCACTGAAGAATGCCAAGTCTGCTGTATCAGCTTGAAGGATTTACAAGCAAGCCTATCGCAGCATGGAAATTTCATCAGTAGCTGAGTGATGAATTAACCATGACATGCCTCCTTGACACAATAGTCTAAACTATGGCTGTAGAACAGTGGGACATGCCTAAATCCCATCTTATGCAATTACTGAAATTAGGCAATATGAAAAGCTAATCCCAGGTTTAACAGGAAATTAGTTCTAAAGCAACTCTCAGTTCCATGAGGAATCAGCTGTCTGATACTGCAATCCTCAGAATGTATACTCAGAAATAAACTTCAATTCATTTCATTGGCTGTATGTCCAGCCCAAGTAAACATATATAAGATTACAGCCTGAAACTAGTGATACAGAAGAATCCTGTTCATTTCACATTCACCACACTCGCAATTTCAGAATCAATATGTGAACTCAAATACCGCTATTCTTTGGCACTTCTCAGAATTTTGCAATATAGCCTTCTGAACAAAACACGCACATATTAGGGGAATATTCAAATAAAACACATATACTGGCAAAAAGGTACCAACAGAAACTTAATTTCAAGAAATACACATACTAGGGGGAAACTGCATCCAAAAATTAGGATATTATGAGAAATGTGCTCAAAACATGCATATGGCTTTTCATAGGGACTTTAAAAAAACATGTGGAAACATTTTAGTTCATTCTTAGTCTCCAGAGACTAAGGAAACTGGAGAAAGGGAGAGAAACTAAAATGGAGCGTTTCATACATTCCTGTTTCACAAGCACAGGGCAGTGTTCTTTGTGGTTAATCTTAATAGCAATATTCACCATCAAGGAAAATACATGTGCTTCCTTTTTGCAAGACCTATTCAATCATGTTAGGCCACTGTAGCTGAAAGAAAAGGCCTTTAACTTTCACACGTTGTGAGGTCAATATGCTGAATGAGTGTTTTTTAAAAAGGAGAGGAGTTAAGGGTATCCTAAGCGAGTTGAATTCATCTACAACTCCTGGAATATCAGAGTATGAACTCTGACTGGGTCACAAGTGAAACTGAATGTCTGTGTCTTATATCCCAGCTTCGCAGATGAAAAAGAATCACATGACTCAATCCCTGTTCAAGGATAGTCAAGACAGAAATAGCAGGACAAAATGCAAGTCAGTGTTAAGTGCTCCTGCCATTGCAATACTGACAGAGAGCTTTGCTCAGACTTGTGTCTCCCCAGGATTCTGGAAATCATACATCAATTTCAATGTTTTTTAAAAATTGTGGAAGACAAAGTCATACAGATGTAGTCCCAGATACTTCCCTGCAATTATTCATTCAGCATTTTTAGTTTATATGACAGTTTCCTCTCTTTTTTGTCTCTTAGCTGCAGGGTCAATTTTGGTGAAAAATCTGTCTAATGTCTGTCTAAGATCTGTTCTTGTCACCCTCATTACCACTCTGCATGTTCTTTTTACCACCATGTTTGCTCTGCACTTTCTTTGGAGCCACTATTCAATATTATTGAATAATACTTTTCAGTACTGTATGTGCTAAAAAGCACACAAAAAAGCTTCACAGCAAGTGACCACAGGTCTGTTTGCGACCGCGAGCGAGGAAGATGGCTGCAATCGCGATCATGGTCATCACCCGATGCGGAGTTCGTGAATGGAGGCAAAATTTTTCTGAAATTTTTGTTCATGAACCGATTTGGTCGTGAACTGAGGAGTTCGTGAAACAATAACCTCCCCCCCACCTAGGTTAGTGTTCTCTACTTTACTGTACTTTGTTACTTCGTTTCAAATTTTTCTGATTAAAAAAATATTTACAGAACAGATTAACCTTATTTACATTGAACCTTATGGGGAAATGTGACTTGGTTCAAGACCAATTTGGGTCACGACCAGAGTAGTGGAACAGATTAAGTTTGTGAGCCAAGGTACCACTGTATCTCAGATATGGATGCCAACACTGGGAGTGGGGGCAGGGGAGAGAAATACAGCAACACTCTTTTCCTATCCTCCAGAAATGCCACTACTTTCCCTGTTAGAAAGGATAATATACATGTGAAGACAGAAACTAACCCAAAATATTGTGCTTAAATTGCTTTAAATTGAATTTTAAGACATTTGCTTATCCTTGTTTTTATGAATGATTATAAGTAGCCAGTTTTGGTAGAAAGGCAGGCTACAAAGCAAATCTAAGCAAAAATGATAAACATCTAACAGGAAATTGTGAACTTCTACTCAGAGTCTCGTCAGAATTCAAATTCTTTCCGTTTTCATTAGAGTCCAGCACTTTAACAAGTTGAACTACAGACTGCATCTTGAAACTAATACATTTATAAAGGATGAGACATTGTTTCCTAAGGTTATTGTTTTAATCATTTCCAAAGCAGGAATCTTTTCAAACCATGTGATGCAACATCTAAACTAGAAACATTATAATATAGCCTAGTGTTGAATATACATACTTAAGACCTTTCCTTAAAATAAATATAAACATAGATAGTACAGAGATGTAATACCTCGGCAGTGTTCTGGATCCTTGGTCTTGGAGCATTTAAGTCACAATCCTATGCATGTTTGCAGAGAAAAGAAGTCCTGCAGCTCCCGGCATTCTGTGATTTTAATATTCTATACCAAGAGGAATGCTCAAGACTTGCCGAAAAAACCCTTTTGAAATATTTTTTAATCCCTAGTTCTATAAAGTACAGCTTTCTATGCTGCCAAGATGTTAGCATAATGGCATTTCGCATGGGAAAGTCAAGGATGATCAAGTGGCTACCATCTCTTTCAGGAGTGAGAAAACTTTTCCCTATGAAGGGCTATTGTCCAACAGGAGAACTTGGCTGGGGGACGTGGTTGATGGTACGGAAGTCAGAGCCTACAGGGGCTGAGAGTGAGCAGCACTGTATCACTCCTCCTCAGTGCCTCCCCATCCTTTCTCATGTCCACGCACACACATGCGCACACGGACACACAAAGTAGATGAGGAAGTGATTCCCAGACAGATATCCAGACACCACCACAGAACACAGAGTATCGGTAGCAAATAAATAAAAGTTTGGTTTAAAATATTTACTCTCCCAAAAGAACAACATGTCATACTGAGGAAATTATGCAATTATTGGCAGAATTACCGTGGATTATAAAAAGTCCCTTAAGCGAAGTGTTTAAGCAGATCTCTCCTTCCCATCTCTATGGGGGGGCTGCATTTTAATGGAGCACTTTGGAGATTACAGAGACACTGCCCACATGAGAAATATTCTACTGAAAGGACTGCCCTAAAACTAAACCACATCACCACTGCCTGCCTCTTGGCTGAAAGAGCGATGAATTATACAAATGGAACTGGGAAATAAGAGCCTCGTGGTTACTTCCCAAAGAGATCAATATCTAGCTCTGGAAAAGTGTATATATAATCTGTGAATGGCTACATGAGTCTGCCTTGATCCTGGGATGCCTGTTTGGAAGCTAGCATATGTACTGAGAAGCGGGCAAGACACGCAGGACAGATTAAACTATTATTTGGTTGAGTGGCTTTCAATCTACTTCAGTTTTCAATCTGTCATTCCAATCCAGTTAAGGTCTTTGCACTGGCTTCTGCACACATATCAGAATCTGCACACATTTTCTGAATCATGAACTGTGAACATAAATCTGATTTGTGCATCTGAATGCAAATGCCATCTCTGCACTGCTCGCAATAGGATGTGCATTTGAACATGCAACCACTTCAGCCAGTACTTCATCCACTGGCCACACAAATACTTGTTAATACTGTGGGTGGAAGATTCACACAAACTGTGAACTCTACCAACTCCTGCAGTTTGCGAATGCCACCAGAATTCAGCCTAGCACAGTCTACACTACCTGGTACTCTACAGATGTGTACTACAATTCCCATCATCCCCAGCCAGCCCAACATATCTGGAATGCACCCAGGTGGTACAGGCTGATCTCTACCTAGTTACCATCATCAGTGTTCAACCATCAACTGAACATAAATACAAAGTAAGTCAAATTTGGAAAGAATTTATTAGCCTGCCAAAGTTAAACATTTGTATCTCATTAATGTCACTGGAAGAATAAAGGACACATCCTTTCAGTCTTTCCCATGGTAAACACTGGAATTTAAAATTGCTTAGTTTTGCTATGATCGAGCCCTCAGATTCTGAAGATCTGTTAGCTGGTGTTGTTTTTAATAGGATAGTAAATATCGAGTCATGATTCAGTCATACCTAAGTAAGTCCTAGCAACTTGAGTGGGAAAAATTTTTAGTTTTCTGCCCAGTGAAATCATTGACACCAAAAAGCAGTTAATTTTGATTAGATGGTGTCCATAGACTGTATTTGAAAACTTAAATCCTATTTGCCTCCAGACACCTTTTAAGATAGGCCATTTTCTTCACGGCTACAGAATTGCTTAAATCCACTAGCAGACATGCGACATACAAGACTTCTGGCCAAGCCTGGAGTCTCTGCCCACGCACCATATTCACCTTCTCCCTACATATGTAAGGGCAGCAGGCAAGGAAATTAAAGGGCACGTGGAGGGCAAGGAGCAATCCGGACAGAGGAAGCTGAAGGCAGCCTAAAATGGAACCAGCATCTGCTCTAACAATCTGCTCCGCGAGCTACACCAGTCCGTGCAAACCACACGCACCTGCTGTCTCAGGGCAACGGCGGCGGTGCACAACCTCGCCGTTCCCCTGGCTCGGCCCGGCGGTGCCCAGGAGCGCGCTCCGCATTCCTGCGGAGGCCTATTCGCGGAGCGGGCGAGGGCACGCGGGGCCGGAGACGGAGAAGGTCACCCCGCGCTCTGCGCGGCTGAGCGCAGAGGAAAGGCAAGCGGAGGCTCCTCGCGTGAGAAGCCCTCCTCCTCCTCCTCTTCCTCCTCCTCGCCGAATTCCCGGAGCCACGATCTGGGATGGGGAGGCGAGCGGATGGCGCTGCTTTAAGAAAGTGCCGCACAGCGAGCCGGGCAGGTCTGGAAAGGAAAAGCGCCTCCGCCTGCGGGCAAAGGATGCGGAGAGAGAGAGGGTGTTTTTTCCGAGGATTAAATGCGGACGCTTCAGGGATGGGAGGAGGAGGATGCCCGCCGGGAGCCTCTTCTTCCATTCCCTTCTAGCATCCTGATATGATGATGGATGATAATGACGAAGGAAGGAAGGAAGGAGGTGGGCGGCCGCTCGGAGCCCTTCTGGGGCCTGCGGCTCCTCCACCAAGCCGCGGGCGCGGCCTGGAAACAGAAAGGGCAGGGCGCCAGGGGTTGTCCCTGGAGGCCAAGGCGCTGTGGCCTCGCCGCAGCCCGGGATGCCGCCTCCCAAGGCCTGCGGCGGGGGTCCTGCGCCCCCTCATCGCCCGGCATCCCTCTTCCCTGCGGCGGCAGAAATGGCGCAGCAGCCGAGCCTCGGTGGGCGCCCCAGCGCATCTCCCCGACACCCTCGCCGTCCCTCTCCCGGCCCCGCGGCAGGCCCGGGCGCTGCGCCGCCACGACGGGCCTTACCGTGCTCTCGCGGTCCTTGCCGTGGCTGCAGCAAGGCTTCGGGTGAGCGACAGCTGGCGCGGCGTCGTCGGCGGCGGCGGCCGAGGAGTGGAACGGGGCGGACCTTCCCTGCGCGGAGGCCAGCATGGTGGCGAGAGAGCCCGGCGCCCGGCGCGGTCTGGCACGCAGCAGCCGGACCCGCCCCGGCAGGCAGAGGACGTGACTGCTCCGCCGTCGGGCGCCCGCGGCTGCGGATAGGCTGAGCAGCCCTGAGACGGCTGGGCGAGGCAGGGCTTGCCGCGCAGCGAGAGCGCCTGCACCAATCCGCGGCGGCGGGCGCCTCTTGCGTCTCGCCCGGGCGTGCGGCTGCCTAGCGCGGCTGCGCTTGGCCGATGGGTCAGGCTGATGCATCATCGGAGTGGTTTATCGCGCTGCCGTGACGGAGGTGGCCTGTACATTGCTGCGGGGTTGAAAAAAGGGCGCGGGGGAGAGTAGGCTCATCCAGAGCTCCTCGGCAGTGTGGGCACCGAATATAGGGCCGGGCGCTTGCTTCCAAGTAAAAGGGGCCACTTGCTGGAGCGCAAACGAGAGATCGCTTTTCCCAACTCCATCACACATGACTGGATTTAAGTTACATTTCATTCACGGTTCCCTTTTCTTGCAATTCCTGGTGGCTGTATCCCATGTTGATCGTATTTGGAGTAGACCCACTGCAGGGAATGAGACTTAAGCCAGATCAGGATTGGAGACAAGCCTTGATCCTGATTTGACTGAAGAAGCCTCCACCAAGCAGCACCTCAAAAACAGATCTTGGAGACTGCCCAAAGCAACTTGGGAGGTCTTGGCGCTTAGGAGCTGTTGTGGTCACCCACTACTGTGCAAGGGACCTTTGGGTGCCAGATGGCCTCACGGGGTTTCCTGTCCAACATGATAAGCAGGGTATAAATGAGGGAGTTAAGTCTGTATGCGCACAAGCCATATCTCTGGACCACAGGGGGACTATACGCTGAACCAAAAGACCCACAAGCCTGCTTGTATCTAATTTGTGCGTAGAGTGGAGTCACTACCCTAGAAGTTGAGGAGCTCCTCAGGGCCCTGGACATTACAAAAGCACCTGGTCCTGACAGGCTACACCTTAGGGAATTGGCAGGGATGCTCTCACATCCATTGGCCTTCATTTTTGAGGCCTCATGGAAATCAGGAGTTGGACTGGAGGGCAGCATCAGTGGTCCCAATCTTCCAAAAAAAAGTAGCAGAGGAGACAAGAGAAATTACAGGCCAGTTAGTCTAATATTAATTCTGGGAAAGACAATGGAAAAGACCATAATAAGGACATCTAAGGTTTCTAGATAGGGAAGGAGGTTGGCAGCCACACAACATGGCTTCCACAAAACTAGGACCTGCCACATGATCCTTGCAGAATTCTGCAACAAGGATTTGAGGTGACTAGACGGAAGGGACATGGTAGATGGGTTTACCTGGATTTCAGCAGGGCATTTAACAAGGTGCTGCATGATATTGAGAAACTGATGACCTTTGGAATAGATCAATGTACTGTCCTATGGATTAGGGCATGGTTGATGGACAGCAAGCAGATGGTGACTATTAGTGGAGAACCATCAGAATGGCAGTCGGTGACAAGCAGAGTCCCCCAGGGCTCAGTTCTGGGACCAGTTTGTTCAACCTCTTGAACAGAATCTTCAGTGACCTGGAGGACGGGGTAACCAGTCTGCTGACCAAATTTGCAGATACCTAAGTGGGGGTGGTGGCCACAACTGGGAAGCAGGTACTCCAGATCCAAAAGGATCTGGACAGACTGTGGAAGTGGGCAGGAGAGAACAGGGTGGCGTTCAATGTGGATAAGTGCAAAGTCTTGCACTTAGGACGCAGGAATAGGTGTCGCAGGTACAGGATGGGAGACAAGTGGCTGGAGAACAGCATTTGTGAAAGGGATCTCACATAACAGGTTAAACATGAGCCAGTAGTGTTATGCAGTGATTAAGAAGGCCAACGCTACCTTGGGTGTATAATCAGAAGCATGGTTTCCAGATTGAGAGAGATGTTAGTATTGTTCTATAAGACTCTGGTGCACCCAAAACTGGAGTACTGTGTTCCAGTTCTGGGTTCCACATTATAAGAGAGACATTGCTAGGTTGAAATCAGTTTAGTGCAGGGTTACATCGCTATGTGACAGGGCGTCACACAGTAGAGGGCTGTGACCTGTTCTCCCCTGCAGTGGAGGAGGGGACACAGTCCAGTGGGACAACGCTCAAGAACTGGGATGGATGTCAGGAAGTATCTCCTGATAGTTAGGATACAGAATGGGCTTCCATGCGAGGTGGTGAGGGCCCCATCAGTGAGGTGTTCAAGGAAAGACTGGGCAACCACATGTTGGGTATTCCATGAGCACAGCCAGCTGGAGCCAGGGGTCAGACTAGATGGCCCAGGAGGTCCCTTCTGACTCACAATGTTTCAACTACTTTTGCTATTCAGACTGAGAAGAGTGTGCAGTAGGTGGGACAGGTTTTCAGAAGTACCCTATTAAAAGTGTTGCCTAACTCATTTTCTGACCCATGGACCGTGGACACATGGAAAACGGGTTTTAAATGCAACATCTGTCAGTCCTGATAAGCAGGGATCCTCCCATCCATGCTTCCCTGCAACTGGCGTACACAGGCATGCACCTTCCAATACTGAAGGGAGCACATGGCCATCGGAACTGGGAGCCATGGCTACTGTTGTTGTGTGCTGTCAAGTTGTCTCTGACTTATGGTAACCCTGTGAGTGAAGGCCCTTCAAAATGTCCCGTCCTGCATTCATCAACCATGAATACAGACTCCATGAATGTGCCCAGTCCCATTTAAAGACCTGTAAATTGTTGGCATCACTCTATTTGCAGGCAGCAAGTTTCATTGTTTAACTACATGCAGGGTGCAGAAGTACTTCTTCTTATCTGTCCTCAGTCTTCCTTCATGCAATTCTAGGTTCTAGTATTATGAGAAAGAAAGTAAAACATTTTCTCTGTCCTGCTACTGAGCAGTTAAACATGGCATTGTCCAAACCACATAAAGCCTGAAGATAGAATTGCTGACCAAGGCAAAGATTCCAAGAAAAATGCTGATAGCACAATGCTTTTTTTAAGGCCTAGTCAAAGATCAGAAAAATAGTGTGCAAGCTTTCACATTCTTCAGAACTGTTCATTAGGCAAGATTGTAAGCAAAACAGAGAATATCATGGCTAGGTGTTCATAAGCAGGATCCTGCACATGTAGATACTAGAACTTAATATGTCATATTATGCTAGGACTTTATTTTCCAAGGGTACATACTCCACAACTACTAGGTAAAACTTACCAATTTTGGCTTCTGCTGATTTTAAAAATCTAGTATATCATCCAAAATTATCTTCCCCTTGTCAATATAAAAAGTTTCATTCTGGTTCTGCTTCCACCTGCCAAAGAACCTGTGCATTTTGCTTTAGGATGGAGCAGCCTTGCACAAACAGCTTGATTTTGTCTTTTTGAAACTTGGGGAGGGGATGTTTCCCACCAGCCTGGTTGCTGAATGAAAGGGAAGTTTGTTTGGGGTGGGGTTGTAGCTCATCAGAAGGGGAGGTTTAACCTTTTCTTCCCAAGCTGTGACCCTTCGATCACCACAACTCTGCAATATGGTTCTTCAACAGTTTCAGTTGGCACCATTTTAAAAGCCTAATTGCTATGCAGATGGATTGAGAAGGGAGGTTGCAGTATATAGCCCGGAGAGGTTAGCCATTGTAAAGGGTTAACCCTCCCCCTCTCTGGACAAATGCTCCTTTGAATGCAACAGTTTACTTATTTTCATTTATTTTATTTAAAGGTTCTATATCTCACCCTTCACAATGTCTCAGGGTGCTGAGACCGTTGCTGGCCGTAAAGGGTTTTAATAAGTCCAATTGCTGCATGGGCAGGGGCTGAATAGAAAGGCTATCGATGAGATGGGAAGACCCTCAGGACTACCAGAGGCTCCCCGAGCCTTGCAATGGACCAGCCTGTTCTGCACACCCAGGCTTCTGGGGATTTGGAGCTCAGAGGCTCCAGAGGGGCTGAGAAACCCTCAGACGCCACCTCTGGAATGCTGAGGGCCTTCCCTACAGCATTTATTTCTCCAGGACTTGCAGAAGGCCACTGGCTGGCTGAGCCAAAGGACAGAATGGCTCCTCCCCTTCCTCGCCCAGAAACCATCAGGAAACCTTCACCGTTGGCCAAGGACAGCATTCCCCAACACAGCAGAAGGCAGCAAGCTAGCTTAGGGGTGTGGGGCAGGCTGCCGAGCATGGGCAGCTCTGTCCAGTGACACCAGTCCTGCCCCCAGCTTTGCTGTGCAGACCAGCCTTTTCACGTGACCTAGCGATGAGGTCTCACGCTCACCTTGAGTTGTCTCTTTCCTTCTAGCCATGCTGGCTGATTCCCCTCCCACTGGTCAGTTTTGCTGTTCTTACTAACAGACTCTTTAATGCTGATCCATTTGTTTGTCAGCCACTTTGGAAGCTGGGAAATGCCTACATAGTTTTGTCCAGAGAGGTGCTTCCCCACTTAATTGTTCAAGGCTGAAGCTGAGGAGGCAAACTCATGGATGAGAATAGGAGAGGCAAAGGCACTGGGGCAGAAGCCTTCCCCCAGGGGCAATATGAATATAGTGGACCTGCATACAGACACACTCCCCTTGGGATGTATGAGGCCCAATTTCTTTGGCAAGGGCTGTGGCAGCAGAGTCCACTCCCCACACAAGGGAGTGTAAGGTGGTCCTGGGAGATGGGAAGCTAAGTGGGAGTCCTCTTCATCGAAACAGAAGAATTGCCATGCTAGGTCAGACCAGTGGTCCTTCTAGACCAGCTGCCCTCACCCCCCTGGAAGTTCAGTGAGCAGAAGACAAGCTCCTTCTCCAGTTCATGGACAGGTATGCTAGCAAGGCTGCTTCTGCGCCGATAGGAGCTCATTGTGCGATATTGCTGCATATCAAGCTTCTTGCTTCAGACATTTTTCCTAAAGTTTGCTAGGCATGACCTAGTGGAGGAGGAGGCGGGCCTTCCCCGGTGGCGGTAGCACCCCGACTGGAATACGCTTCCCAAAAAGGTTCTTCAGGCACTGACTTTATATTCTTTATGGCACCAGGTAAAAACCATTTTATTCGCCCAACATTTTAAGGTTGAAAAAAAATTA